TTTATAATTAGATTTTATAATTTGAATTATTTGTTTACATAAGAAGGAAAATGTATATGTTTAGCAAGTAGAATCAGAAAAAAAAAAAAATCTTGTAATTCTTTAAAATACTTGTACTGACCATATTCTGTTCATGCCAGGATTATTTTCTGTCAGGAATTATGTCAAAAGTATAGAAAAATTCAGTTATTGTCAATTACAGATACGCAAATGAATTGATACATCCATTTTTAGAGTAATATTTTTGTGCCTAAAGACTCTGAAAACAGAAGCTTCATATTTTATGTTTGTAAAAATGTGAAAAGTTCAATGATATGCCACTTAACAGTATTATCATTTTTTCAAGGACTGTGCTGTGGTATCTTACCTCTTTTCTTAAGGGATCTATTAATGCAATAATAAAAGGAAATTTATTAATCAGTTCCACATACATGTCAACCATTTCATCAGGACTTTTGAACGTTCCAGTGAGTATTTCATATTTTCCTTTAACCTAGAAAGTAAAGTGAAAACCATAAAAGATAAGGAAGTTTATGCTTTAAAAACCAGAGTACTAACGTAAGCATGCAGATCTTGTGACAGCAGTATCTCTATTAAGGCAGTGGATTGCTTGTTCTTCCAAGAACAGATTCACTTGTCTACTTTATACCTAAGTGGTCAGCACATTGTTATAGAAAACTCTGCTTAAAGTAACAGTGGTTCCAGTGGGCTCATGCCAAAGTCTCTGAAAGATGCCACTGCCAACATGAGGGAGATCTATTTCAGCATTTTCTAGGCAACACTACCAGTTTTACACAACTTTATGATACAGTTAGTGATACTTGACATTTTTAATAAATCTTGCATGAAAAATCTCACTTTTAACTTCCAAAAAAGGTTAATTTTTTGTCCTCATTTTCATAAAGAAAATATTGCTGGGGGAAAGAAGTCCACCCTCAGTGCTCAAAAACAAGATACTGCCTTTCCTTGCCGCCTTTCCTTGCCTCTTTCCCCTTTCAAAAAAAAAAAAAAGACTAGTTTAAAACTAGTCTCATCATTATGGGAAGCACAGACTGCAGCGTACAAGGATTATTAAGGGCACACTGTCAAACAGTGCCAGAATACCCACTGCTTTATTGACTTTTAACAGTTCAATAACAGAAAGTTACAGAATTACTAATAATTCATTGGTTAAGATTTTGCTCATTCTGGTATAGGATGCAGATACAACAAATTGTCAGGAAAGCAACTGCTTTCACAAAGGATACTAATAATGGAATGTTTGACAGTATAGTACACCCAAATACACAAAATCTCATGAGATATTAAACAGAATAGGAAGTTTCTTTTTCTGCTTAGAAAGAAAACTGATTGGTCTTGGAACAAGGGGCAAGAACTTTAAGACTTCAGCTGCAAATAAATAAACTTTGTCAAATAAAAATCTTGAAAAATAAGAATTAAAAAATGAATGTTGATCACAGTGGAATGTATGTTAGTGGGTATACACACATACCATAGTAAAAATACACAGAAAGGTCAAGGTAGTTTGAAGAAAACAACAGATGTAGTGTAATAGAATGGAGAAATAAGCATCTAGTGGTGTGAAGGAATTACAGAAGTATACTTGTGTAAATAATTTGTTGTTCTTCACCCTTGAAAGCAAGGTGGATAGAAGATAATTATTTCATTTATACCTTGTGGTGAAATGAAAAAAAAAAACCACCAGGATTTCCTTCTTAATACTTTAACTCAAAATTGTCTGAGGTGTAATGTGAAGTGAAGATGTTTTGTTAAATAAAGCATGTAGTACGTGCTTGCCCATTAAAACAGTTTGCTGTATTTGACACAGACCGATCTGAAAAATCTTATTAAATAAATAGAGAAAAGAAAGAAACCTGGCTGACGCAGGCAGACTTATGCCATTTGAATGATAAAAGTTAAATCATGAAAGTAACAGAGATTCCTGTAGGCAGGACACAAGCTGTAATGGGGTCTGCCTTAGTCTGGCGAGCCTTATTCCGCGCAAGGTGCACCACCAGTACGCTCGTACAGCTGCGGAGAAGGGAATCGTGCATTCTCACTGCTCCTGCTGCATCAAGCTACCAGAAGGATGCCTGCATGTCTCATCCCCTTGCACTCACAATCCAATAACATATCTGCTACACTTGTAGGACTGATTCAACCATAATTTATAAATGCAGAGACAATTCTTTTGGTTCGCTTGATTGTTACCTTAAAAAATGGAGTTAGAAGCTTCTAGGTGAGTTTGCAATGTAATAATAAATAATGTTAACAAATAGCTACATTCCTTTTAAAAAAACAACAAAACACATATTGAAAATAACTTACATAATCCATTAATTCATGAGCAGCACAATTTATTGCTAAGTATATGTCTGTTCCTAGCTCCAGACCTATATTGTTGCAAGCTGTTTGCATTAGGAGTAGCGGTTGTTCTAGATTGTCGCATTCCATTATTAGGCAACCTAAGTGTGACATTCTTTTTAAGACTTGTGGCTGAAAGTAAAACAAAAATAATCACTTTCTTTACACACGTGTATATCTATATAAATATACTACTTTTATATATATATTTTCACTGTCATTTCAGTCTGCAGTCACCAAATCTCTTCTCAGAAATCGCATTAGCAACTTTAAGGACAATTCTCTATGAATGAGGGGTAACCAAGTGCTGATGAGTAGACAGCTAATAATCCTTGGAAATATGTCTAGTCATGTAGTTCTTGCTCTTATATGGCCAGTACTGGTTTACAAAAAGATTTTAAAGGCACCCTAAACCACTGAGTTGTCATGGATGCGAAATAAAAGTTTCCGGTGCTGTGGACTATCCCTTTGCCACAAAAACATATTCTCTCTCCACTTTTAAACAGCTTTTACTCATTTCTCCTCAAGTACAACTTTGATATTGCTTCTATGGCGTGTTCAGGAAACACTAGAATCTTCCCAAACTTCTAGAAGGAACAAATTTCATAGAGGGGAAATACCTCTAGCACAGCTGCCTCAGGAACAGTGTTCCTGGACACGAGCCACAAACAGAGTTGCACTGAGCAAGTATGTCACATGTCCTTTTGTTTTCAGGTTTTTTTGTAGCTGTGCACTATTGTGAGTGCTGACCTTTAGGTACTGGTTCGTATCTGCCATTATCTATAACCTCAAACAGGAACTGGGAACGTAACGCAGCATGATTAAGAGGGGAGTTATGCTCCCAGAGTTAGGGAACAGCACAATCTGCAAGTCTTAGAGGTGATAGTTTTATGGCCTACATGATCAAAAGGGCATGTTCTCTGCTGGTGCTACAGGCCTGCAAAATGCTCATTTGGATAATTTACCAGAATTTCTACATGAGAAAAATGACCAGATTCCAAAAGAATTTCCCCCTTTCCGTTATTGTTCCACAGGATGGGAAGGTATAGTCAGAAGAATCCAAATTATGCAAAATATGAGCATTTAGAATATTTAAAAGTCTTGCCTTGACCTTTCCAAAATGGTAATGTAGATTAATGTTTCATTTCTTAAGAACATTTTGGTTCCCTGCTGCTGTTAATACCTTGCTGAAGGTTTAAAATGGAAATCTCTTTTCTTACCGGAGCTTTCTTCCCTGTATTACGGGCTCTGCCTTTCTTACCATCTGCTAGTTGAGGACTGGACTGTTGGGAGGGAAAGAAGAAAGAAATCAATTCCATGGGAAAGTCCAAAAGTGACAGAGCACATTTGCAGAAATCTCTACTGTACTTGGCCCCTGAAAATTAAAAAAAAAAAAAAAAAAAAAGAGTTGACTGAGTTTTGGTCAAAAGAGATTGCAAATACTTAAGTTAGGAAACAGCTTCTGTTTTGTCTTGACTACTATCAGCAACTATCCAGTTTTATTTTGTGGTTGTAACTCATTTTAAATGTTTATTTCTATGTGGGCATCACCCCAACCATCGCTTGTTTTTCAAAAGATTCCCACCTAGCCTATCAAAAATACAGGGGATCTTAGAAATGAGAATCTAGACTCTATACTTGGAGAAATCCAACCTCGCTTTGCAAAAAGCGTATGCACACACTGAGACTGATATACCACTACAGTAATAGTACCCTGAAAAATACATGCTGCGTGTGTGTGAGACTTAGCAAGATCAGAACCATATATTGTATATTCACTGTGGTACCATTCACTCCCAGCGTACTTCTTCAGGTAAACAGAAAAGTCTTACTATGCTTAGAACAATGTTTCATTCTATCTTCCTTAATTTAGTATCACCAAATGGCCAATGTTTTATTCATCTGTCAGAGAAACACATCTTCTATTCTGTGCCATAAGACTAAACCTCATAACAGGCTACATGTTCTATGTTTAAGCTTAAAAAGACAATAGTAGTAGAAAGACCAAATGAAGTACATCACATTATTAGTACACATTTTTACTGTACCGCTTTGCCTGGAGGCTCCAACAGTCTCATCATTTCTTTCTGAATATCCAGAACTCTTTCTATGCCCTGAAATTAAACAACAGCAATCTTCAAAAGAAAGATAATTTTTTTTATTTTAGCAGCTTAAGTCAGAAAAGAGAGAACAGTTATTCTAAATGCAGATCTTAAGTCTTTGTTAAAAAAACCTATTCTACACTTCCTTAGCACAATCCTCCCCACCCCCAAAATGCAGTCAGGTGTCCAATGATAAAAGGGTTAGTAGCGCTGGAATGAACAGGAATATTTGATTATGCTGCTGAATGGGATGGCAAGAAAAGCAGTCTCTTCTTCCCCAAAAGGAACACTTCCCAAATCCAACAAGTAAGCAATATCTGGGTCTGCACAATAGCTGAGAAGTGGGAAGATGATAATCACTGTTCGCAACTGTGACTCTATCTAAGACCTCCTAACTAGAAACTCTGACAAAACTGAGTGTATTTACCTTTAGAACATTTCCAGGAAGCAGGGGAAAAAACGCTGTCTTAATTTGAAACATTGGGGAATGGAGGAACGCTCCAATTAAATGAATTGCTTTTAACGCAAGAGTCTCTTTCCTTTTCAGCTGAGTTAGTAGAAGTTTAATGCTAACTTCGTAAATCACATTTCAGATTTTCTTAAACTGTGCCAGTAAAGGAATACTGAAGGGGGCAGAAGTCAGTCACAGCTGACAACACATCAACACAGGACAGGACGAATGGCTACGTTTTTTGCACTGCAGCAAACAGCTTGCTACTCTCCCATGAGCACTAGGAGGCATTGTGTCTTTGAAAGGTACAGAATTAGCAACCTTATTAAGAGCTCTTGGTGACAATTATAAAAAGTTAAAGGAAAAGGAAAAAGAAAGAGAATCGAGCTCAGCTATTTGTTCAGGTCACCAGCATACAAAGTAGAAATCACAGCCCTAATGTAGGCATCTTGTGCAGATACATTCTTTAATGCAACACATGGCTAAACAAAGAGAGGGTTGATCCAGTCTGTCTCATCCATCCTTCTTGCCCCTTGAATAGATTTTGTTCTGCTTTGTATTCCCTTCTATCTTCACAATTTCATTTTTAAAGCAATTTATTCCCAAAGATTTTATGCTTTCCTGTGAATTCATTACAAGTTTTGTTGTTTTGTATGCTCGCTCAATCAACTGATACTATTTATAATCCACTAATGTAAAATTACATTCTAAACAAATTTAAAATCTCTTCTTGTTATGTAACACAATTCCCCTACATCTTCTTCAATGGACTGAGTTTTTCCTCTATACTAACACATACTTTTAACTTGAAATCTTCATGTATCTTCTTTTAAATCTTCATCTATTTACTTCTTTTAACGTTCCTTGTGTTAGAATTCTGCACTAACAATTGTTAAAATTTTGGCCTTGCAAGTAAACAGAAAATGAAAAATATAGTTTGTAAGGACTATATTGAAAAGATCTATATAATTATGTATGTATATAGTACATATGTGCAGTCTATAGAATATGTTTATAAAACCGAAAATGAAACAGTACCTGTTTGCGTGATAACTGAACTGGTGGTATAAGCATAACTTCTTTCACTAATTTCAGTTTTGCAGGTGAAAATTTTTCACAGTTCAACAGAGTAACCATTGGGAGTGGCAGAGTAATTTCTTTAGGTGAATCCTGTAATTGGGAGTACATGTGAAAATAAAAATGTTAAAAATCAGGATAATTTCTTGCATATTTTCATTATGGCACAGGGTTCAAAGACTGCTACAGACAATGGTCTTAAGGGTGTATTCTGTGAGGTATAATTAACACCACTGTCACGAGGGACTACTGGCTTCAGAATTCTAGAATAACTGTGATAACTGGCATAAAATAAACACAGTGACAAAAGTCGCATGTACCTGATTACATTTCAGCAGTGCAATATGTAAGTACAATGGGATATGGCTAATGGTGGCACCAGCCTTAGCTATAGCAAGTGATGTTCCCCCAATGGCTGAGCTGCCACAAAGCACTGCTTCAACAGGTTCTGCCGGTGGGATCATTCTCTCTGCAGCTGCCACCTTCTTCCCTACAAGACAGAAAGTAGTAGCTAAGTATTTTCTTGGTTTAAAATGTGTGCTTATGTATCACATTTATACGAGTAAATATGATATTGTCATTTCAGTATGTACTCAATGTATTACAAAAGAATCAGTTCTTTTTTTTAAACTTAATCTTGTCATTTTTTCTGTATGAAATGACCTTACAAGTAACCAAAGTATCTGTCCTCGCTCTGGCATCAAATGTATTTCAAATCAATTTCTTTTAGGTATCTCTCAGCCACAGAAATCTGCATTTTTATTTATCTATGTTTATACTCAGTAATGTCATATCATTTTTCAGGTTCCTTTCATAAGCATGATTTCAATATCCTTTACTGTCCTCCTTATATGCTCAGCTTTTGCATAAACAACTTGGAAGATTACATTATAAGCTGATTGGGAGTACACGTACTTGATTTCTTCTAATAATAAGTGTGAAAAAAATGTAGGCCTATTACAGTTGTATTTTCCAATGAGAAAACAGATCTTTTAAATATTCCAGATGCAGTCTTGTTAAATTTTCAAAAGAACTTGTTACCCTTTCAGATACAGTAGCGTAACTTTTGCCAAAATGCTTGAAAAACGGCAGTTCCCAGTATCATATTTATTGCCTACAGTGCTTACATGAACTTGTACAGTAATCACCCATGTGAAGCTGAAATAAGCGGTCTGAATCGCAAGAAACATATGCATTGGGGACTTTGTTGTAAGTCTGACCAACTACTTTAGTGCCTAATAGGAGTGTCATACAAGTTTTAATTTCAATAAAATATAAATAATTTGTGATATTTTATGATGAAATGTTCTTAATAGGACCTTAATTGGATATGCAGATTAGATTATACACCATTGGCATGCTATACATAGATTCAATACCTCTTACATTGAGGATGAAGAGCTACACACATAGACACTAGTAATCAAGTACTGAGCAACTCTGATGAACTGCAGTGTTTTGCAGAGATTCTTTCCACTACACTACTTTGTAACCTGCATAAATTACAACATAGATGCTATGTCTGAAAGTACCTGCTACTGGAAGGCACCATCTGTTACTAGGCTCCTGTAACAACAAGTAGCTTTATAATCTTTGGCTCCTAATAGGTATTGATTCTAATAATATGAGTCAATGTCACAATCAAATATAAAGAAAACACAATTAGTGAAAACAAGTCATATATGGATCAGCAGAAGCTTGACTAACACTATAATATACAACATGATGATATCTGTGTGGACCTGACAACTGCAGACATTACATTTCAGGTCAAAGGTGAACTTACAGTGCACACATCTAACATACTAATTGGGAGGTTTTACTGACAGTATATGACAGATGAAACTAAACTGATAAGGAAATAATAATTTGCCAAAATTTTCTACCCTTCCAATAAATGATAACAAGCCTTTTTTTTCTGAGAGTAATGCATATATGGAGGTAACATATGGTGATTTCTTCCTTTGGGGTTTTTTTTTTGGCCATGTAGACTTACCCTGTTTCTCTACTCTCACACCATTTTTTCCTTTAGTAGTGTTGTTTGCTTACTTCTTTTTACTCTGTACTGCCCATCATTCCCATTTCATCTCCTTCCTTCTTTCTCTTTCGCTTTTTACCTTATTCCTTCCTTTTCTCAGTAAGCAAGAAACTTCCCTTCATCCCTTTTTCCATTCTTTTCAACTTCTACCTTAATTCTAGGTCCACTTCCCTGTTCAATTCTATTATCTTTTCTTTCCTTATCATTTTCATTTTTATTCTTCATTTGCATCCTCCTCCACTCTTACTCCTCACTCTGAAGAGTAATAACCTCTAAGCCAAATGTAAAACAAAGGCAGAAACTCTGTTCAACCAATGCACATGAATGATGAGAAAATTCTATTTTCCCCTTCTCATTTCTGCAGTAGAAACTGCTGTGATCAGAAGGAAGATTTTGGACAGAGTAACCAAACCCTTTAAATATGAGACACTGTGTGATGTGTTCTGAAGTATTCAGTGTTCACAGAATACTTCAGAATGTATTTAAGCACCTTTATCAATATCTGTGTTGCAGAAAATATTAAAATCAAATAAACCAGAACCTGGTTTTGCTGCTTTTTTTTTCCCAGGTAGTGCTGTTGCTGATGGAGTGGATGAAGTAAGTGCAAGAGTGGCTGCTGCTTCTTCTTCTTCTTCTTGCTTTTGAATTTCTTTTTTTTCTTCTGCCTTTTTTGTGAAGTATTCACTGAGGGAAAAGGCATAAAGATTAGCAGCTCAGAATATTGTTAGACACATGACAAGTAGACACAGGATACAGGCTAAAGAACATGCTAAGAGATGGATTAAGGACCTCTATTTGAGCTTCTTCCATAGACTCATTGTGTGAAGCCAGAGAAGTCAATAAATTACATTATTTTGTGGTAGTAATCTGCAGCATCGGTTGAACAAAAAGAACCACAAGCAAGTATTATAAACCTTAACACATGCTTTTCAAATCACACTGGTTTGAAAGTCAGCTCTGTGCAGACAATCTTAGTGTGAAGGATATATTTGCTTTGCATGGGTAGTAACACATCCTGTCATAACTTCATGACATAGAACAGCTTGGCCTAGGTTGCTAATTCAATAGGTCAGCTGTACACTGGTTATTTAAGTGGCTGCAAGCTCAGAAATGGATGAATTTCAATTACATGCACAAAGTGGAAACTGCATACATGGGTCACAGTCACCCAATTCAGGCAAACTGAGTACCTAAGATATATAAAGTAGGCTTAACAATGCATTAGAATCTTCACTTCCACTTCAGTTGCCGAATTTCTTTCCACTTGAGTCCTTATTCCCTTCATCAAGGTTTCCCCAAAGCTAATCCACACCAGAAGGCAATTAGGTCTGTTTGCTACAGTCTGTGTGAAGTGTGGCAGCCCAACCACTACTGCTACAGCCAAGTGTCATTCCCCTCAGTGATACAGCTGAAAGAAACACGTCCAACTCCAGAAGAGGATGACAGGCCATATTACTGCTTCCAGGGTGAAGAAAGCCATAATTGCTGCCAGGTAGCTCCTCCAATGTTACCGTAAAAATACATTCAGATACTTCTGTGATGCTTTTACCTTACACCTTTTTTTCTTATAAAAAACAGACATATTTCTTTGAATGGAAAAATATGGCCATTCTTTTTTACTTCGGGATGCTCCCAAGAAGAAATATTTGTATGAAAAAATAAACATGGATGTTTACTAAAGAAACCATGTTTCCAAAGAAACTAATTGCCCCAAGTAAGAAGCCTTTTGGAGTAGCTTGCTCAGAAAGACTCCAGCAGAACCTGAAAACTGTATGTATCTACATGTTTTCTGTGGATCAGCTCAGTGCAGAAGACACTCACACAGGCCTTTCATACCACTTTGTTCGACAGTGCAATGAGCTGAAGTAGAGTTGCAGTCTGAAAAAACATCTCCACTCAATTAAACCGGCACTGAAGGAGTTTCTTAAACAGAGCCTTTGACTTACGAACGTGTTCAGGCATTTTTTAGTTAGAGACCCTTATTTTTGTATCCCATGTATGAAACCATGTAAAAAAACCAGCATGATTTTCATATCATAATTATGAAAAAAAGCAGGAGATCATATAGTGCAATGTATCCAAGATAGACATCACATCCTAAAAATATTAAAAAAATAATACTTGAAAACACTGACTATTCTGTATGTTTTTTTCATTTACAATATGAATTAACGGTCTATAGTTCAAATGCAATAATCTGCAAGACCTACCCAAGCATCTTATCAACTTTACACTGGTCAGTAGGCTTCAAGTCTCTTAACATTGTGTTCAGTGACTCATTCACCCATTCCACAGCAGTGTTAACAGCGTCATTTCTTTCTTTCTCATCAGCTTCAGTTGTTTCACATAAAGCATTTTCAGGTATTTGAGAATGAGAAGACATTACAGTGGAACAAATCCTCTACAAAAAAAGGTAAAAAGGCTTAAAACACTATCTAATTTCTAACTTTGAAATGTTACTTGAAAGACTAAGAAGTGTATGTCCTTACCAACTCTACAGGTACCTATCTCCAAACCTACTGTTTGCTCCACTTATCATTTTTCATCCAGCACCTTCTTCCTAGTCTCTTATACTTTGGTAATCACAGACATTATTCAAGTTTCTTTACCTAAATTCCAACTATTTAGGCAAAAAGCTCCTGACAAATCTGCTTTATACGTATCTTTTGTTATCAGAACAGAATGGAGTTATTTTAAAGACCATACAGTCATTATGACATCTTTTATTGCAGCTGTTGGTAGCCTGTTGTACCACAATTCATCAGCATTCATGCTTAATGCCATCCCTCATGATCACTTACATTTTGTCTTACTTAGGTAATTTAAACATATCTTTCTGTACTGCTGAAGGATAAATGATTCTTAAGAAAATTCACTTAATGAAGACATCATTTACAAATATCACAGTTGCCTGCATTAAAAGCATTAACTTTACATACTATGAATATCTATGAAATTATATTTAATTCAAGAATGAAATGAACCATCGTTTAACTGAGGGAAAGTATAAATAATTACTCCAAAATAGCTAGAGTTGCAAAGACAGTATCTTACACATTTCAGGTTGGAGAAGAGATGGCAATGCACCACCAATTTTGCATTGCAGGTTCTAGATGGATATGTTTGACTTTATCACCCACATCAGCCTACTAGCTCAGTGTAAAAAAGTGCCTTCACCTATACTGTGTTTTTCACCTGTATTATATTTTTCTGGAACACTGTCATACAAACAGAAATATAAGGAACTGAAAATAAAAAACAGAAAAATGTAAAATGAAAATGAACTTACAGGGCTAGATATGGGGTGTAAGGACAAGCTACATGATCATTAAGACAGACAAAAATCTAATATACAAAGATGCACTGTCACATCCTACTCATAAAGACAAGTATTGTCTAATTAATGGAAAACAAACTTTTTATAGTTGCTGCCATTGTCTCACTTTTCATGACAGTTTTTTTATTAAGTTATAACACTGTTTACTCAACTGCTGAATCACAGGGATTCATATCCTTTCATTAAAGATGGAAAATAAAATGTTCCTTACGATGCGAGTAGACTAGTACCTCTCCCTGATATTGTCTTACTAAAATAAACAAAACAGGAAGAAGCAGCTCATACCTTCTCATAGTTTTTAACTGTACAGTATATTTCCACTTCTAATGTTGGCTGACCAACTCCATCAAGAACTTTTCTTCCAACTAATCTGCATATTACTGGAGCTTTTGAAAATTTAGAAAAGTAGTTAGCCTTAAATGAAAGAGAAAGAACTTCATTAAAAGTCAGTTTCTATGCAATGAGGTTTTTATTCCATTAAATATATTTAAATCAAATCCACCATTGAGCAAATCCATTTATACATCCCAGTATTCAAAATATTTCCATTACACTGCACATTTACTTCTATATTATCTGCTTAAGAATGCGATTCCAGGGAACAGATCCAACTCATATCTAGCATGGAAGTCCAAAGATACATCCAGGTTAGACGAACATGTGTTTTATTTGGCAAAGTTAGTGATGAGTATCAAAATCTCCTTAATCCTCCTAGAAAATAGGCATTTGTCCAAAGCTTACTTGGCTTTACACTGAATAACAAAAATAGTCATCGTACTACTCGTGCTACTCATGAAACTCATTTCTGTTAGAATTCACAAAGTCTCCACCTCCCCCATTCAGTGAGTTGCTATAAAATAATGATTTTGTCCGCAGAAAAGATCTTGAAAAAATACATGTCTCCTCTCTCATAAGGAGAGAAGAAAGACCGTGGACAGGAAAAACTCTTAGAAATACATACAGAACTCTACTAGATCCTAATCTTACATTAAAATTGCTGTAGCATGCGTTCATTAACAAGTAGTTATTAAGCTTTGAAATAATATTGTAATTTTTTTCCCTAAAAAAAATACTAGAAGCAATCTTTAACCAAAATCTTCCTGCTCAGAAAAAGTTCTCATGTGAAATGCTACGCATAAAATTTTGTACGTGCTGCAGACAGGGAAAAACGAGAAGTATTTTTGGAATATACTTCTCGCTTATAGAAAGTACTTGATGTCCTAAATACCTAATAATGTTTCAAGGTTGTTTCATCAAAGACATATGTACAGTGGCTCACGTGTCTCAACACTCAACTGATGCAATATTAAAGATCTTCATAACAGAAGATTTAATCTGGAAGGAAGAGAAGCTTGTCAGCAAGCTCCTTACTAACAACGATAACTGCTCCTTTTGTAGACTCCTCTCTTACAGAACATAGTTGGTGTAAGGTTATTTAACACAATGACCAAACTGTCCTAATTAGAAGTGGTTTTTTGGCTGGACAGAACTTGAGCTAACAAGGCTGGCACAATTTTAAGGAATAGCGGGTATGCCACACCTGGTAACAGGACACAAGGCGACTGATGTAGCTAGGGATCACTACTCCACGGGAAATCTGGGATTTTAGGTTAGCAAGCGTTGACCCTGTGAGAAATGTGAAAACCTAGACTTCTGGCAGGCAGAGTTCTCTTACTTATTCCAACATGATCTTTAATGGGCCTGTTGAACTGCCATCATCCAACTATGAGAATATATATTCAGGGCTCTGTCCCTACTTAATGAACACCAATGTTGCTTTAAAAAAAGGACTAAGTTGCTACCTGAGGTTTACTACATACTTCCTTAATAGTTTCATTCTTTCATCTGTTATCAGAAATAGTCACCAAACTGTGACTTACCAAATGGGAAAACTAGGAAACACTTATAGAATCATAGAATGATTTAGGTTGGAAAAGACCCTTAAGGTCATCCAGTCCAACCATTAACCTACACTACCAAGTCTACTCTAAGCCAGTCAAGGGTAGACTAGACTAAACCATGTCCCGAAGTGCCACATCTACCTGTTTTTTGAACACTTCCAGGGATGGTGACTCCACCACCTCTCTGGGCAGCCTGTTCCAATTCTTGACCACCCTTTCTGTAAAGAAATTTTTCCTAATTTCCAGTCTAAACCTCCCCTGGCGCAGCTTAAGCCCATTTCCTCTCGTCCTAATAGAATCATAGAATCGTTTAGGTTGGAAAAGACCAAGCTACATAGGAGAGGAACACGTCAAACGCCAAGCAAAGCCAGAACAGGTGTACCAGTTCTAGTCCCTTCCACTGGTGACGTCAAAACACTTGGAGATGGGAGACGGTGTGAGATGTAATGAAATGTTTCATTTCCACAGCCACTTTCACATCAAAGAACACCTTAGAAATTACTTTTTTCAAGAGTTGCTCGCTATTGTAGGGTTGGCAATACCAGTATCACCACTAAGAGAGGTTTCATTAGGACTACCGTCTACAATATTTTGCCAACTGGGAACGGACAAAATCAGTCTTATTCTTCACACTTCCACTGACGCCTAGTTGCTTTT